AGTGTCCTGGGTCCCTCTGGACTCAGGCCTAGCAGGAGGTGGTAACCATGACCCATGGTCCTCTGACCTCAGGGCTCATCCTGTTCTGTTCCATCCCTTTAATAAAACTAGTAACCAAAAGAACAACTGCTGTGTTTCAATCTCCAACCCAACACTAAAAATAATGTTGCAAAGTTGAACAACTGCTGTGTTTCAATCTCCAACCCGACACTAAAAATAATATTGCAAAGTTGATCTGGCCTCCTTACCCTAGATCTGATTTTACTGTGTCAGAGGCAATTAAATGGCAAAGAAAAACTAAGGATATGGTGATGTTTCAGGGAGAAACAACCTGCTTGGAACATGAATGACACAGAAAATATTGGTCTTGTCTCATTTTCAAGGTCCTCTCATCTGATTCATGGGAATTTTTTGCTAGTGGCTTTAATGAGAAATACCAGATCCTTAATTACTGGGGATTTCTGAATTTGTGAAGTACATACCACAAGTGTTCCTGTGGTCAGAGAGGGTTCTTACAACCACACTTTTTGCTGTAGAGGAGGAGGAAGTAAGTTTTCTTGCAGGATTATTTCTCAACAAAGGAGTTTTCCCACCCCCAGAGAGTGAGAGTCTCTTTGGAGGATGTGTTTGGTGCTCCAACACACATGTGCTTCTGCTCCCTGCTGACAGGAAAGGGATACTCAGGACTGTTGATTGCACCTTGCTGCTCTTGCTCTATTAACTTTCACTACTGCAGAACTTCGGGCCCCAGGCATGAACAGGACCCCAAGTGTGCCACACTTGCTCTGAAAGCAGAAAAAAAAGACTGTAACATCCTGAAGAGGTTGTGGCTGAGGATGTCTCTTTCAAACATACAGCAGGAAGCTCGAGAATTTCAGAGCGTGTGGAGGGATAGTTGACACCTTCACATTGTCTTCTGTTGCCTGGTTTAATACCTGGGATCAAAGTGTCCACAATGCTTTTAGGATCACTTGAGTGTGAAATGCCTGCTGATAGTCTGGACTTGAGGATGTTTGGTCATGCCTTGGCTGCTACAATATGGTGCTCCAGGGAGGGGCTGGTCTGGAGCCACTTCTGTGAAAAAATGAGAGTATGATGGGACTCTTCAGCTTGGAAAAGAAATAACAGAGAATACATGACAGAGGTTTACAAACCCACAGCTGGCACAGAGAGTCAGTACTTCAGCTTGGAAAAGAAATAACAGAGAACACATGACAGAGGTTTACAAACACACAACTGGCACAGAGAGAGTCAGTATATTCACCATGTACTGACTTTGTCAGAGCTAGCTGGAAAGAACATAGGGAATTGGAAGGAAAGGCTTGAGATCCTCAATGGAAAAGAGGTCAAATCCATGATTCTTGGGCAAAATGCTCCTGAAATCTGCTTAGATGAGGCCTGAGCAAGCAGAGTGGGCCTCTTTGTCCTGTCTTTCAGACTTTGTAGCTAGGTCATTCTGGATGTGCTCTGGATTTACTGAATGGCACCACTTTTTGGCATCTATCCTGCGACACAACCTGTGCATTATGGCACCACTTTTTGGCATCTATCCTGTGATACAACCTGTGGATCAGCAGAGCTGTGGGGGTTGCTGGATGAGTCCAAGCCCAGTTCATTTTAAATAAAAATGGCTTGGTTTACAGTCCCCACTTCCTCCTCTTCCCTTCATGTAGGTCCCCTCATTACTTGCCACACCCTTTCAGTCCTTCCCCCTTCTTTCCATGTCCTCTACAGACATTGCCTTGCCTGAGCACTGAGCACACGTAGCTTTCAGGGCTCAAAGGCTGGACAGTGAATGTCAGCAAATAGTTGAGCACAAGGCAAAAAAAGAGGTTGGAATTGAGTTCAAAGATGATGGCTCTGTTAGCTGCTGACCAGCTCACTGTCAGATGGATTGTAGCTGTACTTGGGGACCTACACCCACTATAGAACAAGCCAAATTTACCTTCAGAGTAGATACTTCAAGTGGGAGGGTCCAAGGTATACATGCTCACAGGCACATAGGTGCCTACCCCTTTGTTCATCTGGGGTGTAGGGCTGGCTCAGCTGCCCTCTCAGCCCAACACTTCCCACCACCCTTGCAGTCTGGTGCCCTGTGCTGGTGGATTTGAAGGTCAGTCTGTGCAGGGCCAGCGTGGGGGTACCTGTGCCCCCCATGCACACACACCAGCATCTGTCATGAGCATATCACCATTGGGGGGTGCAGGGGGGTGCAAAGAAGCTCCTGCCTCTCCCTGCTGATCTCTGTTTGGCACAGCTGGTGTTATTCCCCTTCCCAGCAGGACTGAAGCCCTGGCCAGCTGCACTGGTTTGTTTTCTCACCATGCTGGCAGAGAAAGAGCAGCAGGTGTCAGCTCCACTCGCAGCCACAGCTCCCTGCCAGGTTGTCTCCTCTGGGACACCTATTAGGGACCTCTTCAAACATGTACCTGTGGAGGACACCATCAGGCAAGTATGGGACTGCAGAGCTCATTTTCCTGCTCATGTTTGGGAAAGTCCACTCTTTGCTGCAGGTGTCACAGCCATACCTCAGCAGAAGGGATGCAGCCAGGGGACTCACTCAGTTTCAGAGACGA